ACTGCTTTGGGCTATCGGTGGAGGATAGTCTTGGTTGTTGTAGACAATGCATGATGATTAGCTTTTACAGATTTTAAGTGTGATTAATATCTAATAAAACATGTGATTAATAATCAGATAAGATCACACGTTATATGTATTTGAAGAATGTAATGCGCACTATATACTATATTTTGAATCACAACCATATATTGAATGGAATAACGTCATATATTTCATAAATGAAAGTTAAATGTTTAAAAGTATATACAAAGGAATTAATAAAAAGTTTTTAACTGTGCTTAATAACTAGTGCAACTTGTAACTGTATGTGTATCCTTATCAAACAAAAATGAACATTCAAGCAAATTACATCATTGTTGCACGTCAAAAATGCCACCCCAATCCAATCTGCAAAAAAATAAATTAAAAGCTTTAGTAATTAATTAATTATACAAAAGATTAAAAACATTAGTAACTCATCAATTTACAATTAGATCAATTATACAATTTACCCCTCTAACAGACTTTTTTTTCGAGATTATGAGAACAAAAAATTAATTTTAAGGCTAATTCACAAATGGTGCATCCCATTAATGTGCCGTAAGTTCATATAACTTATATTGGTCCATTTAATTGTTAAAGTGCAAGGATACGTACCAGTTTTTCTACTCTAACAGGGATTGACCTAGAACCACACCTGTGTTTTGTATACATCCTTTCTCTGTTCGCGATGTTACCCTTTGATTGCTCCTATAAGAAAGAATGACCAATATAATAATGAAATGTATCATTAGTAAGACAAATATGTTAGCTTTTGATTGTTCCTGTAAGGAAGAATGAACCAATATAACAATGAAATGTATCACTAGTAAAACAAATTTAATGCTTGATAATAAAGAATTGCATTGTTCATATCTATCCTTTTCCTATATATCATTTCAACTTAAAAGATGTTTCAAATTATTCACTAGTTTCATTCAATTCTTTGAAATATAGATTAGAGGACTTGTTGAGATTTCATCATAAGATGGTTTTTCTGGGTGAAAAAAGAAAAACGAGTAATTTACACCGTTCACAATTAGGGGGCTTATAAGCATGGGCAAGATAGATTGTGAAAAAATCCATTTACATTTCACAAGATATGGAACAATTACTGATACCAAACTCATATCCCTTTCTTTCTTCCACAACTATATCAAATCTAAAGTTCTGTCTTAATACCCTGTATTAGTTACTCAGCTAGTTGCTTACCATTATCATGAAACTTCAGACCAAACTCAAGAACAAACAGAAAATACAATCATAGAAACTGAAATCTTAGTTCTTTATTCTATGATGTGAAAGATGCATTTTAAGGAATCATAAATTAATCTCCTATTATGTGAGCCTTCCAATCCATGTTTATAGTTTCCCTTTCTCATTTTGCCACTTATTTGGTTTTTATTATGTTTCACTTACATGCTTAGAGGATAAGGAAAAAAGAACACATGGAATTTCACAGCAAATCGATTGTGTTCTTTGTAGTTTTTTTGAAATCTCTCCCTATTCTAATCAAATTTTATCTAAGTTACTAGCAAAAGAATATGAAGTTGCTACAATTCATCCAAATTAATAGCTCTCTGTTGATCTTCAACCTCAATGCTTTCTGAGAGGCCTCATCACAAAATATACACAAAAGTAAAATGACACTACTACACAAACATATAAAAATCACACTTTTTTTGTGTGATGTATGTTATTTAATCATACCTTTTAGATTTATTAAAGTGTGATATTTGGGAGTGTGATTAAAAGGGGTCATTTTTAATCACATATTTTAAGTGTGATTAATAACATTTAGATTACACCTTTTAAGTATGATTAGAAATATTTAGATCACATATTTTAAGTGTGATTAAAAATATTTAGATCATAGCTTTTAAGTGTGATTAAAAATATTTAGATCACACATTTTAAGTGAGATTAATAACATTTAGATCACACATTTTAAGTGTGATTAAAAATATTTAGATCACATCTTTTATAGATTTTAAGTGTGATTAATAGCTAATAAAACATGTGATTAATAATCAGATAAGATCACACGTTATATGTATTTGAAGAATGTAATGCGCACTATATACTATATTTTGAATCACAACCATACATTGAATGGAATAACGTCATATATTTCATAAATGAAAGTTAAATGTTTAAAAGTATATACAAAGGAATTAATAAAAAGTTTTTAACTGTGCTTACATATATTAACAAATAAAAAAACTTGAAAAAATGAAATTGTTGAATTCTTTGACCATATTTTGCATTTCTCCAAGAAATTTCTGACTTGAAAAATAAAAAACACAAATTAATTCAGAAACCACTAGAAGCATATGAATAAACTTAATATTTTTTGTAGAGATTGTTCTTGTCTTACAAAAGACAAAATCGAACATTTTCTCATCACACTGACTCGTCATCTACTGCATCAATAGAAAATGAATAACAACTTTGATTATTATTAGTATAAAATGTTTGGATTACCATATATAAATATGACATATACATAGAATCAATAAATCCAAAATGAAAATCTTCAATGTATGAGCAGATATTTTAAAGTCATAAAACCAAATATACATAGAATCAACAAATCTAAAATGAAATCTTGAAGTGATTATATATTCCTTACCAACTAAAGAAATTGTTGATTAGCAATTTAAATAACGGAAGTTATATCATACTTACATTGGATTTCAACTCATATTCTTTAGTACGAAATTAATCCATTCAACTTGCACTTCATCAAGTTCGGTTTCCGTGTAAGTCTTTTTTCCATTGAATTGCAAGAGGTTATTTACAAACAATTAGATAATATGAAGATGTACAAGTATCATGAATATAATAGTAATAAAAGTAAAGAATTTATCTCACATTTTGTTTTCCAGCTGTTTTATTGTCACTCTGATCAGAGTAGGGGCATACTGCTGAGTTTGGTGATCATAAGAATAGCAAACCCCATTGTTACCATCATAATATAATCCTGCACATTTATAAAAAAAATAAAAATAATAATAATAATAATAATAATAATAATAATAATAATAATAATATAATCCTGCAAAACACAAGAATAAATAAATAAATAAAACATTGATCTTCATCAGAAACTAGACCAAATTCTATTTGGTCTACTCCACTAGCACTAGTACCCGTCCAGTTCATTAGCAGCAAAATAAAGCATGCTTGCATAAAAATAGAATACATATTATCATAGATATGCTTCACCTGATCATGGCATTAAAAATAATAAAAAAAATATTAATACTTTATGTTACATATTTGTTTAACACTAACCCAATTTTAACTAACAAACCATGCCTTCATTGATTAGTATTGTTTTGAATTTTCAGAGTATAAAACAGAATATGAAGATATACGAATATTTCACAAGTTTTCTCACAATTATAAAACAACAAGAAGATGTTGAAATCAAAACAATAATGACATTTTCTATCTGAGAAGTTGCGAATGTCAATATAAAATATCATCATTTCACTCTGTTTATGACAATATCATGGAGTTGGGGGGTTTAAGGCTTCTTGTGGCCATGACTCCATATGTTCATGAGAAATGACATCTATGAATGAACCGACAATAAATACACAAGAAGAAATTGGTAGGAGTAAATATTTTTTATAAAACAAAAATATTAATTATTTTCAAGAAATATTCCTCATGAAAACTTTTGTATATCTCCACAAATTAACCCTCTGTAAACCTCAAAATTTGGAAGAAAGATCCCCCATCAGTATATTGGATAGGTTTGTTAGCAGCACCCAACAAATACTGCTCTCAAAGTTGTACAATTCTATTGAGTGATGTCTCTCCTCTCATCTCTCTGAATAGTGTAGAAATATCGGGGCTCTGCTCAAAATTTCAAATATAAAAAACCTTGTAACAATTACTAAAACTATATTTTCTTAAAATAATCCATACTGAAAACCATCAACAAATGCAGAGCAATCCAAGCCAACCATAAACTCCAAAATAGAAATGATGTCACAATGTAATGGTCAGTTGACAGCAGAAATCCAAACCAGAGGCCCTTTAAAAATTGAACGCCACCACAAGACCAATGATTAATGAAACTAATTATTTGATGCACACTGAATAAGATTGTTAAAGATTTAGGATGCCACACTAGTGCACCAGTCCAATTGCATGAGAAACACATATCAGAACTTTCACTTATAGAACACAACATTGATATCACGGGGGCTATGGCTCACATGATACAACACTTGCAACATTTGCCTATATTATGCATAAACATAAAATCAAGACAACTTTTATAGTAACAATGAGGAAAACAACAACTAAAATGTAGCTTCCAAATAAATAAATACCTGTGAAATTTGATGTTGGATTGAGGATATGGTAACCTCTAGTCCATAGCAAATTACTGAACCAACCCCACAGTCAGATCAACTCCAAGATTGTCTGACAACAATTTTAGAAGTCCAACTTCATTTTAAATTACGATGCCACATATAACAAACCTTTGAAATTATGCTATGAGTTGCACTCAGCCAAGATAAGAAGATACCGTATCAATCAATGTGTGGTTAAGCCCATCAACAGAATCCGAATGCTGATCAAGTTCAAATAGAAATCTTCGACTACCAAGGTAACCCAAGAGACAAAAGAACCTTCTTTAGGGATGGAAAATTTTGTCAATAATTTCATAATATTTTTTTCCATATTATATACCTATTTTATCAAAATCTAAATTTTAGTTCAACAAATATAACCCTGTTCATGTTGAAACTTGTTGAATATAACAATTCCATCACAACTTAACCTAACCTGTTATCAACACATTTACGAATTAACAAAATGAAAATATCCATTCATCATCACAAATAATTTCATCCTAATACAATAAAATAGTGAAATATCCACAAAATATCCAAAAGTTATAACTTGTTCAATTTTACAAAAAATCCAACAATAACTAGTGCAACTCCACAGAGTATGTGTATCCTTATCAAACAAAAATGAACATTCAAGCAAATTAGATCATTGTTGCACGTCAAAAATGCCACCCCAATCCAATCTGCAAAAATATAAATTAAAAGCTTTAGTAATTAATTAATTATACAAAAGATTAAAAACATTAGTAACTCATCAATTTACAATTAGATCAATTATACAATTTACCCCTCTAACAGACTTTTTTTTCGAGATTATGAGAACAAAAAATTAATTTTAAGGCTAATTCACAAATGGTGCATCCCATTAATGTGCTGTAAGTTCATATAACAATGAGGAAAACAACAACTAAAATGTAGCTTCCAAATAAATAAATACCTGTATTTCCATCATAATAGAATCCAGAAGAACCATCATAATAATAGCCAGATGCTTCATCCCAAACAAAGCCAGATTGTAATGAATAAGCATCCTTTGGACCTGCAACCTCTCCACCACTTGGTGTTAGAAATGTTTTAGTTGATTTTGATTATCTGTAACATTATAAACAAAATGTTTTAGTTGGTTTTCATGGACTCTTTACCCTTTCAATACTCAACTAACAGTTCCATGGCCCTAAACAAATTAATGAAGCTTTAATGGTTAGTATATGAAACAGGTTATATATCTAGACAAAATTACATAATCAAAATGTACTAACACTATTATAAGCCAAATGTTTAGGATAAATCATAATGAAAATGAAACCTTGTAGATGTTCTTCTCAGACAATCTGTAAAATAAAATAAAATTAGGTCCATGCACCAATACTGCCACAAGCCTCTGCACGTTTAAACATATAATTCCCAAAAAACAATTTGTAGGTTGCAGATATGAATTAGAAGGCATTACTCACAATCCCTTTTTAGATAGACCTTTCGATGAATTTAGCTGCTGTGAATTGTGGTGTAAAAAAGACACATTGTTAGAGTTAAAGGCCAATTCATTGCTTCAATAGAATTTATAATATAAAGTTAACCTTTGTAGGCTTGTGACCATTGTCAACAAGCTCCCAACGCTCTTTATCTAAACGGAGCACTTCCACATCTCCATCATCATACAGTACCTTTAACACAAAATTGATCAGAGAAAATTATGTCAAAGAACCATATGAGATTACAATTATAACATTATTGATAAATAAATAAATAAAATGTGTATCTCCAAAACATGACTAACACAAGTATTAGAATAAAAAAATAGAACATGGAACGGTGCACTTACCACATATTTCTTATGTTCAGAGTCATAAGACTTCACTACTCCATAAAACCTGTTGATTTTAACAAGACACCATCAAGACACAATTCTTGCAGCAGCGTGTATACACACAAGGATTTTGGAGTGCAAACCACGTGTACAAAAAGTACACACTACTAAGGTAATCAAGGATTGTCATTCCCTAGATCAAGATTATGCGGTATGCTTTTGAATAATTTATTAGCACATTGATATATATACACGCTAACAAGGCAATTTTCAAAAGCCATAAAACCAGCAGAGCCACAACAATATATACATATATATATTTACATTTGGAAATTATAAATATAAATTTTGATTTGATTCTCCCATTTTTTCTTTGTATGTCATGTTCGACAAATAGAAAATATAAATAAAGTAAAAAAAGATGATGAATGGGTTTGAGACTTGCATCCACATGTAATCCATCTCCAGACAGCCCACAAATTGATTTGGCTGATGAAAATTGGCAGCGTCAAAGCAATCAAAAGATGGTAGCTAAAGAGCAAACATGAGATCAATATATATAATTTTTTAATCATCATGACAACCCAAGCAACATCAGCCAAAGGCCACAAGACTGGGAGGTCAATGCAAGCAAGGGCCAAAGAGAATATGCCAGAAGCTCTTCTCCACTAGCCAGAGGTCATTGGCCCTGGGGTACACACCGCTGGGCAGAAGTCATCTTCACCAGTCACCCACGTTGGGATGTGCCAGTGCGACTGACAACTGGATACAAGTCATCTTGGCCCATCACTAATATTGGGATGTGCGAGTGTAGAGTCAAATTTTCTTTCCATTCTGAATGTATCAAGCTTTTTATTTTTATTTTTACCACTTTGACCGTTCATTAAATGGCTTCCAAAATTAGAGTTTGGCCCCTGCCATTTTTGGTCTGTGTGAGTCTGATTCTCATACAGGGATGTCCTCACCAAGTCAGCAACATGTCAGGTTAAACTAAATTAACAGATGTTGGGGCATGTCTCCAGTGTTTGACACCTATCCGTGTCCAAAAATGTGTATATGTCACATATAGGGAAGTGTCCTTGCTTCCTTGCAGGAAAGACACAATTAGGAATGGAACAGAACTTATGAGTAGCTATTGATTAAGTCATAAACAAGGTCAACTATTTGAGATGACTCAATCAAAGGATTAAGAAAAATTTTAATGTATGCCAAAGAATCCAATATGGATGGCATAGAAAACAGAGTGACAAACTGATCAAAAGTCGCAGACTCCTAGTAGTAGCAGACCACCCATGGCCCTAAATAGAGGAGTAGAATGGGAAACTTTCATGAAACTGAACTAAAGAAGAATTTGGTAAGGGGTCACTGTGTTCATGGGTACAAGAAAATAAAATTCATTTTCACAATCCAAGTGAAGAACAAAACTAAGCCATGGCCAACCCTGTAGACACTGGTGTTATTGAAAATATTTTTTCAAATGTTGAACCTATGACTGAAAGGATATGACTCATCTCAATCTAACTACTTTTACCTGGAAAGGAAATTATCCAGAGCTTAATTTTAAACAGAAGATGGATACATAATAAATTAGAAATTTAAATATAATAGAGATTCCCAATTTCATAGACCTACACATCTCATGCTCCAACTTTATCTTTCTCACCTATTTTGTTAAAAAATGGCTTAATCTTGTTCTCTAAACCAACAAAATACTTACCGCTTGTCCACTGGCTACCAAACTTTTATTCTGCAATCAATCAGGTCCATTGTCTCACTTCCACCTTTCTTTGATGTGCACTGAGGAAACAAAGTAGCAGGTCAAGTGATTGCTTATGATGCTGTTTCTAATTCTAAATTCTTAGTAAGTAAGAGAACTTGAAATATTTTGAAAACCAGAAAGTTCTCACATCCATAATTTAAAAACAAAAACACACACCACTTCCCGCAATTGAAAATAAACTGAAATTATAATGTTGTACATGCAAATCATTAGGCACAGAGTTTATATCATGAAATAATAGCCATCCATGATATAAACTCATAGCAGCTGGATTCAACTCCCTCACATCTATGTTCAACACTGAATCCACCGAACCAGTAGCTTCCTTCACAATTGCTTTCAAACAAAGCTAAAAAAGCAAAACTATTTGATCCCTCATAGGCACATCAATCACACCATCATAACAAAGGAAAATTCACAATTACCCATCTAAGGAAATCACAATCTTCAGCCATAACAGAACACAAAATGATCCAAAGAACTCTATACGAATAGGCAATAGGGTAATCCCTCAATGACTCAATTTCACTCCTAACAAGCCACAACTCCAAAGGAAGAAGCCCAACACAATCCCTAGAAAAACCCTTAATTTCACCATTATCATTGCCTACAAAATTTGCACACTGAATCGATAGAATACCTGGGAGAGTAAAGGTTCGGCTCAAACTATCTCGATCGGCAGAGCTAACTACGTCGGGGCAATTACGGTAGAAGAAATTGGGGCCGAAGTCGCAGTAATCGTCAAGGGAGAAGCAGAGGTTGGAGTTGGTATTGTGTAGGGTTTGAAGGAAGCAGTTCTGATTGAAGAGTTGTCGGGAGGGTTTGAGAGTGTTGGGTAAGCACAGTGATTAGAGCAGGAGGGGGTTAAGGTTGAAAAGAGGGGAAGGGGAAGAAGGGCATTGGAAGGAGTGGTAGAAAAGGGATTCCGGCGGAAGGCGGTGGTGGAAATTGAAAGGGCAGGGGCAGAGGGCGGTAGTGGTGGCGGTGGTGGCGGTGGTAGGGAGGAGAGTGGAGAGAGAGTGGAGGGTGGTTTTGGAGAGGTGGATGAGGTGTTTGAGTGTTGAGAGAGCGGTAGGGAGACCGGGAGGCTGTGGCAGAGGCAGAGGTGGTGGTGTTGGTGAAGTGATTGAGTTGGTGGTGGTGGTGAGAGAGGGATGGTGGTGGAGATGAGAATAGAAGAAGTTAGGGTTAGCGGGTGAAGGAAGAAATGTGAGGTATGGTGATGGAGATGGAGGATTCATCAGTGTCTCTTTCTCTTCTTCTTCTTCTTCTTCGTCGCCCTCCTCACTGCGCAGAAAATGCTTTGAGTTTATTTTTTTAAGATTGGTGTTGGGGCTGAAAAAATTGGGGCTTCTGATTGTTTCTATCTTTCTTTTTTAATTTTTTTTTTGGCGCTCAAAATGTTTATTTTGGCACTATTTTTTTTTTCGATCGTCCCTTTCACGACAGTAATTGGACGTCGTGGAAAGCATAATATTTTAAACAACTGTTTTTGTGCGTCGTGAAAAGTATAATTTTTAACGGTTGGCTTTTTATGCACCGTGAAATGTTCAATATTTTTAACAGTAGCTTTACGCGTATCGTGTATAGTTGATGTATTACGACATGCCATATGCATGCCATAGAAAGTTATATTATTTATCACTAATATTGCAAGCTGTAAAAAAATCATTGTTATTAGCATTCATGACCTACGCAATTGACGCGTCGTAGTTGAAAAATTATTTACGACATGCAAAAAAAGCAAGTCGTAAAAATGAGAAACCACGGCTTGCATTTACTGTAAGTCATTGATGTGAGGCCGTAAAAACCCAGTTTTGTTGTAGTGTATGTATTATATTTTATATTCACCACTCGCCCATTTAAGAGAGACAGAGATAGACATTCAAAGGCGTTCACAAACGCCTCTGGTTATTGAAACGGTGCCGTTTTGATTTTTAAAAAAGCGACGTTTAACAAACGTCGTTAAATATTATGTCGCTAAAATTCATTTTTCTTGTAGTGAAAGGTGTGCGAGAGTGAAATTGTGGAGATTTTTTTTTTTTTTTTGAACATATTTGGGGAAATGGTGCAAACGGGCTCAGGCTAAAGGATCAGCTGTATCATCTATGGCAATGCAAGGATCAAGCACAGGTAGTGGGAATTTAATTGCTGATGGAGTTGAGGGCAGAGGTGGCAAAATTAAAGTAGAGATTGATGAGGGGATTTACCTATCCTAGAAAAAAAAGAGGGAATTTTGGGAGGGAAATTTTCACCGCCTCATATGTTTGTAGAGGCAGATCACCAAACCAAAAAAAAAAAATTCAATACAATTTTTAGGTTTTTTTAAAAAATTAAAAATAATTTGACAGCAATAAAAATCAAAATTATATTTCTAAAATTTTAAAAAGTATTTATGACCTAAAAGATAAAAATATACAAAAATAATAAGTATTTTTTTATTTCACCCAATTTTTTTTAGTTTTTTAGGGGAAAAAAATTGAAACTAGTTTCTGAAAATAAAACCAAACATATTGAAATTGATAATCTAACCATATTTTTTGAAAAAGTTTAAACTATCTCAAATTAGTCATCTCAACTTAAGAGTGTGTTTGGGGTTGATGGGTTCATTTTGTGATCTAATTCAATGATCATTTTAATTTTACAATTTAGTGATTAGAATATTTAAAACTCTTTGAAAAATTGTAATAAAAAATACAAATCACTATATCACATCATTCCACTAGCAAAACTTTTACCGACGAATAGTATTATCATCGCTAAATGGTTAACTCTTTGCCCACGCCAACTTGTCGTCGCCAAAAGTATGCACACTAATAGCAACGCTCATTGTGTTGTTAAAACATAAGCGTCGTAGCTAAAAGTTCTGAAATTTTGGCGCCAACCAAAAATTTTGGCGTTAAAAGAATGTTATGCTTTTTTAGCGATGATAGCAAATTGCGTTGGTAAAAGTATACTTTTACCAACGAAATTGATCACTGTGTCGCCAAAAATATACTTTTGGCGATGAAAAATTGACGTCGTCGCCAAAAGTAGTTGCCAAAAGTGCAATTTCTTGTAGTGAGAGAGAGAGAGAGAGAAAGAGATCTTGGAGTTGTAAAGGAGGTGGAGAGTTCGTTCCTCCCATGGCTCGTCTTGAAGGCCGTCGTACATGTCTTCATCATCTGAAACAAATTGAGACGGAGAGAGAGAGAGAGAGAGAGAGAGAGAGAGAGAGAGAGAGAGACGTACGAAGAGATTAGGGATTTTGAGATTGGGGATTTTGGTTCAAGAGAATTTTGGGTTTGGGTTTGGGTTTGGGTTTGGGTTTGGGGTGGGGGGAAACCCAAGCTGGAATGGAAAAGAAGGGGGGGAGAGATTAGGGATTTTTGAGATTGAGGATTTTGGATTTGGGTTGGGGGGAACCCGAGCGGGAATGGAAAAGGAAGGGGGAGAATGGAAATTTTTTTGATTTTTTTGATTTTTTTTTCTGATTTTCATTACAAATGAATATTTAAATAATAAAACGACTTTTTTTTTTTTTTTTTGCAACGAAGAATGTCATTGCTATAAAAAAATTATTTTTTAAAATAATTTTTTTATAGTTAATGAATTTTTGTTTTTGTTTTTTCATTTAGTAAGGTTGAAAATTTATTTGTTTCATATTTATTTTAATGAATACAAAAGTATTATTATTTTTTTATTTGGTAGAAGTAGGGATAATATTTTCCATTAAAATAAAGTTAATTTTTTGTGGCCAATGAAAAATATTTTTCTGCGGCCCATTTTTTTTTTGTTATTAAAAATCAAGAACTATTTTGTGGTAGAAGAGAGGGAACGGCAATAGTGGTAAAAGATAAGTGGTGAAGTTGTGGTAGTGGTAGAGGAGATAGAATAGTGGTGGTAGAGAGTGAGCAAGGTGAACACAATGGGGGAGAGAGACAAATAGACAGACAGACACATAGAGAGAAAGAGAGAGAGAAAGAAGAGCGAGAGACAGACACAGAGAGAGAAAGAGATAGAGAAAAGTGATAAGTGAGAGAGAGACAAAGAGATAAAGAGATATAGAGAGAGAGAGAGACAGGGAGACAGAGAGAGAAAGAGATAGAGAGAGAGACATATAGAAAAATAGAGAGAAACAAGATATGAGCGAGAGATAGATAAAGAGAGAGAGAAATAGAGCGAAAAGAGATGATCGAGAGAAAGACATAGAAAAATAGAGACGAAGAGAGAAGAAAGATGGGCGAGAGAGACAGAGAGAGAGATAGAGAGAAAATAAATGAGCGAGAGAGAAGAGAGATAGAGAGATGAGAGAGATAGATAGAAGAGAGATGAGCGAGAGACAAAGAGAGAAAAAGAAAGAGACAGAGACAAAGACTGACAGACAGAGAAGAGTGATAAGTGAGAGAGAGAGAAGAGAGGTAATATTTTGTGGTAGAGGAGAGGAAACGGCAGTAGTGGTAAAGGTGGTGGATAAGAGATGATGGTGGTGGTGGTGGTGATGGCGAAGGAGATTAGTGGTGAAGTTATGGTAGTGGTAGAGTAGATAGAGTGGCGGTGGTGAAAGACAGGTAATGGTAGTAGTAGTAGTGGCAATAGTGGTGGTGGTGGTAGTGGAGTGGTGGCGATGGTAGTAGTAATGGTAGTCGTAGAGGTGAAATGGCGACCGTGGTAGTAGTGGTGGTAGTGAAATGGCATTTGCAGTAGTGGTGAAGGTGGTAGAAGAGATGAGTGGTGAGAGAAAGAGATGAGTGAGAGACACAGAGAGAGAGAGAGAGAGAGAGAAAAGAGAGAGAGAGAAGAGAGATGGATGAGAGACACAGAGAAAAAGAGAGAGACAAACAGACAGAGAAGAGTAATGAGTGAGAGAGAGAAAGAGAAGAGTGACAGAGACACAGAGAGAAAGAGATAGACGGACAGACAGAGAAGAGTGATGAGTGAACCGCAACCTCTGATTTTTTTTAATATATAAATTATGTTTTTTAAGATTTTTTTATAAAAATAATTTAACAATCTTATCACTAACCATAGCGCATGAGAGAAGTTGAAAAGGGTATTGCAGTAACTATACACAGATTGTATCTATAATTATTTGTATGAGGGGATTTTAAATACTGATAGGGGATTTTGACCAAATCAATAAATGCAAGCATGTGGAAAGACGTGGATTGAAAAAAGTTAATAAATGCTGATCAAGGGATTTTGACCAAATTAATAAATGTTGATTTTTTTTAAATAAAAAATTTAGAAAATTCAGATTTGGATATTGAAGCTCCCGCAGGCCTTGGGGTTAAAAACCCTTTTTTGCTTAATATATAGTATAGATATATATATATATATATATTATTAAGAATTTATATTTGTTTTAGATATTTTTTTAATATACTAATAATTTTTGAAATTTTTTTTATAAAAATAATTTAACAATCCCATCACTAGCCATAGTATATGTGAGAAGTTGAAAAGGGTGTAGGACTAGGTATGAGAAAAGTCAAAAAGTGGGTTGGGAGAATTCAATAAATGCTGAGTTCTTTTTTTTTTTTAAATCAAAAATTTTTAAAATTAAGATTGGGATATTAGAGCTCCCATAAGGTTTGTAAATTTAAAACCCCATTTTCCTTATATAATAATGAGCAATACTAGGTATCATGAATTTTTTTTTATGAAAATGATCATGAAAGATTTATGACTCTTGGATTACACTTAAAATAAAGCACCACACACTAATCAAGGTAATCCAAGGGTCATAATTCTTTTATGATCATTTTCATGAAAGTTTTTTCATGATCCTTAGCTTTTCTCTATAATATATAGATAGATAGATAGATAGATAGATAGATAGATAGATAGATAGAT